TAATGGTAAGAAGTTGTGCCACAATCCCAAAGGCATGTGCTTCTTTTTTTTAATTTTATTTTATTATTTTGTGTGTGTATACCATCAAATCAGGTCTGACCAATACAGGAGGAGATTGCCCCTCCTTCTCCAGCAAAGCATCTGGCAGATTCAAACCGCATACCTCTGGCATTGCAGTGCAGCTTCTTGCCACTAGGCCACCAGAGTTCCCTAAGGCATGTGCTTCTAATGCACCAGCTGCTCCACCGTAGAGGGATGGGCAGTCTCCTCCTGTGCAATTTACTGCCTCTGAAAAGCTGCTGAGGGTCAGCTATGAGTTGATTCCAACTCAGTGGTACACAAACAACATACATGCCAAAATAATATATTCATTTTCAGTACTGACATCTAAAAATGCAATATAGAATGGGAAGACAGACTATTAGGTTATAAATAGTACAGCATAAGCGAGAAACAACGTTTTGTTTTGTTTTGTTTTTTTTAAAAAAACCTCAAATACTGAGATAACCTGTGCTAAGGCAGAGAAGCAATAACATAATCGGTTTCACAGTAAGAAACCAGTAAGTATTCTAAAAACAGATGTGAAACTTTATCTCCCACTTGATGACTTTTCCTAAAAGGGACTTTCAGTTTTTGCTTAACATTATAAAAGGCTCTGAATTCAGAAATAATTCCCTGTGAATAAAAATATTGATACAATTACGATGAGGACTGTAATGTTTTATAATTAGTGCTTCACACAGCAATTTCTCGGTTAATGGTAGCAGGCATTAATACTATCAGTATCAATAGAATTCTCACTGTTGTTCTTTTCTCAGTATTCTACATGCCTGAAATGATCTCAACATTAGAACAGTCTTTAATATCTTAATTTTACTCATAAGAAAAAGAAAACATGGAGGCTCACTGATTTGCTTAAGGCCCAGCATTATCATGAACTTAAGAGTAAACCCTCATGGAGATTTTCCTGGTTTGTGATGGCTATAATTTAACACTCACAGTTTTCACATGTTATAAAGTACAAACTTTTAACTGTAAATTAGATCTAAATATGTAATTCTTGTATAAGTTAATTACTACAAACCTAAGGCACAAAACCAACTGAAATATGTTTTAATTTACTATTTTGTTTTGCCTTTTGGAAAATGCTAAATCATATATAAATTTTACGACTATGTTATAAGAAAAATTAAGATTGCTATTTAATAAGACTTTAAAAAAGTAATCTATAAAGTACAAAAATATCAACAAATTTTCTATCAGTATATTTAATGGCAGCATTACAATTATTCCATCCAATCTCTCTGTCATAGAGCTCAAATTATTATTTGGTGAAAACGTCCTAGGTCGTTAAACCATACTGTACATTGAGGGCTGCTTTACACTTTATGTGTTTTTTAAGACTGTTAGATTATCTATAATTTCATAGAGTTAATGAAACAGAGAAATCTCCATGTATATTTCTTCTCATGAGTAAATGAGAATAGAAAACTGTCTTCTCAGGTAAGACATGTAATCATTCCTGATGGGGGGCTATTCTTCCCCAAGAGAGGCCCATGAAAGAGCAATTAAGAGCTGGGCTGTTACCTGCGTGTCTGACAGTTTGAACCCACCGAGGGGGATCAGTGGGAGAAAGCCCTGGCAGTTGGCTTGCTTAAAGAACACAGCCTAGGAAACCCTATGGGGCAGTCCTGTCACATGGTGTCACTATGAGTTGTAAGTCCACAAGGCAGCATTTAACTAAATTCTCCTCAAATTATGTGGAATTACCTGTCTCACATCAGGGAGCAAAGAGAAGCTTCCAGTGTCTTTGGTCTTCCCAACAGACATCTGAATGTTATTCTTTATCTCTTTGTACATGCTTAGTCCAAGGTCAAATACAATGCAGAAGCTCCTGGATGTAAAGGAGCACATCTTCTCTGTATCTCTCTGGGTATTTTAAATGCCGTTTACATACAGAAGCTTGGTAAATATTCGTTATTTAACCCAATTCTATCTACATATTATTTCACTTTATCACACTTGGATTTTTCTCACTTGGATTAATTAATGTCTTATAGAGGCCCAGTTACTATTTTTTATTTTTTGCTTTTTCATCTAGAATATTTCACTATGTAATGTATTAAAAGAAAAAGTCAAACAAAAAGTAAGTTCAGAAGAACTGAAATAAAGTTAAGATTCTCTAATTAGTTTGGTTGGCAATATTGCAAAACTAGCTTATTTTCAAAACCTTAACACAAGCTCAGTTCATGTTAACACTTTTTAAGTACTTGTTACCATAAATGTGGAGCATTAAATTGGGAAAACAGTGTGGGGAAGTGAGAAGGATAGGATTATATCTATGAATATGAAACCTTCAGCCCTCATAAACATGTGAAAAATTTGGTTTGTTATACTCTTTTGTATGGTGAGGACACTTTCCTTTGTGGACATGACTGATGTTTTGATTGTGTGATAATTCTAACTTATACTTACCATAGAGATCATTTCCAATTTTTGAAGAATGATAATATAATTAAAACTTCAGCAACACAATAGGCCATATTAACAGCTTTATCATTCTCAAAAGTTTGTGAAAACATGGGGTAATGACGGGTAAGGCCTAATGGTGATGAATTTTATAGAACTTAATATGTGAGAATGATGGCAAGGAACACAATGTAAATGAACAGTGTGAAACACTATGTACACAAACTCTATAAACAAACCAAGGGGGAAAAAAGTTTGCTAGACTATTCATTTAATATTAATCATTGTGTATTACGTATTGTATTACATATTTCATATCAATGGAGCTCTGGTGGTCTAAAAGTAATAAATTGTGCTGCCTACCAAAATGCATCAATGGTTTGAATCTGCTATGTGCTTATGGAGAAAGATGGGCAACTTCCTCTTGTACTATTAACTTTTGACAACACTCTGGAGGGTCAGCTATGAGTTGTTCTTACTCAATGGTATATATCAACAACAACATTCCATACTAGGGTAATGCAGATGTATAAAAATACAAAGATAATAATTCACTCATTACTTTATTAATTAATTTAAGAAATGTTTTTGAATATCTATGATACTGTTGCTGTTCCACAACATGGAATTATCAATCATGATCCTTAACTATATAATGCAGGACACGAGATAAAGTCTATATAAAATGACTAGAGTATAAAATATTTCTAAAGGAATTGTTAGTAAAGGTATAGAAATTCTTTAACAATGAACAAATAGATGAACTATGATACATTTACACAACTGAGTACTATACAACATTTAAAAACAAAGAAGAATCCATGAAACACAACACAGACGAGTCTAGAGGACACTATGCTGAGGGAAATAAGTCAGTAATGAAAGGACAAATGCTGTACAGACCACTGTTATAAAAAAGGAAGGAAAGTTTACATACAGAAAGAATAATTTTCCATGAGGGGAAGAAGGAAGTAGAAAAGGAATTAATAAACATTTAAGATGGTCAAGGGAACTACGGCACAGGATGAATGGAATCTGATTGTGTGTAATGTAATTGATGCTATGAACAAAATGCACATCACTCATTGAAAAAACCAAAATGCTTTGTAAGCTTTCACCCAAATAAAAATTAAAAAAGAACTAAATATAATAATATATAAAATTTTTATTTTGAAATAAAGTTTTATATGCTAGAAAAAACATAGAAAAGGCTTTAAGTATTCAGCAGACATATTATTAACACTTTTTCATCACATATCCATGTGTTCATTGATCAGTTTGTTCATTTAGCTTCTCTTAGTATTTCTTTAGGGAGCATTGGTGGCCTAGTCGCAAAAAGGTGTGCAACAATCTCTATAGCCGGAGGTTTAAATCCACCAACTGCTCCATGGAGAAGGATGGGCAATTTCCTCCTGTGCAATTAACTGCCTCTGAAAACCTACCGGAGGGTCATCTATGGATCAGCTCCAACATGACAGTACATAATAGCAACAACAACACAACAATATCTCTTTATGGTTTTTTTCCAAAGAGAAAGTTGTCTAATCCTTTTAAAATTGTACCCCATATCTTAGGTATAGGGAGCTCTTGTGGCCTAGTGATTAAGAAGTTACACTATACACTTAAAGACAGTGGTTCAAATCCACCAGCTGCTCCATGGGAGAAAGATGGAAAATGTCTTCATGTGCAATTTACAGCCTCTTCAAGTCCATTGGAGAGTTAGTGATGAGTCAGTTCTGACTCAATGGCAATTAACTGTGATTACTATTGATCTTAAATGGAATTGTTTCCAGAAGTGGTATCCACTTCCGGAACCCCTCTGAAACTGGAGAAAGGATAAAAGTCACGCAAGTGTTGAGGACTTTCGTTCACAGGGTTGCTATGAGTCGTCTACAACTCGATGGCACTTAACAACAACAACAACAACTTGAAATTATCCTCTGTCTTACTTATTCTAAACTTATCCAACTTACATAGCTACATTTACTTCCCATTTTAGTACTTTTAAAACTTAATAAAAGTGAAATTTAAATTTGTCTAAGCCTCTCACAAATTCATAGGCTTTACTCATATATAAAGAGCTCCAATATTTTTTATTTTCTCATACAACAATAATTTAATCTTTGGTCATCAGATGCAAGATAATTACTTCTAATATTCCACTTAACAAAATTTAATCTTTCGGAATGATTTAGAAGTCATATAGGATGTTAAAAGGGCTAAGAATCATTTTTTTGGTCACTTATAGGTACAGGATGTAAAAGGCATTAAAATTTATTTCGATTAAACTCACTGAACTGATTCAAGAACTGAAAAATACTGTCAAATCTACCTTCTTAAATAAATAAGCCTGTTATTTCTCATTTTTCTTTTTCTTTTGTAATAAATAAATACTAGATAAATAAAATTCTAGTTAATATGGATTTACAATAAATCAGAATTTACTGTACATGTACAAACTAAAGCATATTACAATTTTACAATTAGTATACTTTTAATTAACCTATAACAATACAAAGCTAAGTACTTACATTAGCTGCACCCAGAAGTATCAATGTAGGCCCAAGACCTATTGTATATATAGATCGGAGCATGACTGACACAAGAAATGGTCGGATACCCACAGGTTTGGAGAAGAAAAACAGCATAGATGTGCAGATCCCAACAGCTATCCAAAGAAGAACTGAGAATAATGGAGAAAGTGTACCTGTGAAATACAAGAGAATTTTCTTTTTTACTGAGAACAACAGTAGAAATTACTAAGATATTTGCTATTCTTCAGTCATGAGTCAACTAAGGTGACACTGAAAGTTAAAGCAACCTCCTCTATATATTTATAAGAATTTCTTTGAGCACATTTCTGATTGTTACATTTCCAGAAAATCTGTATTCAATTCAGCCTGCTTAATATTCACTAGCTAATGCTTGCCCCATTAAGCCTGAGAGTTGTTCCTATTTCCTATGGGAGTAATTTGCTAAATGCTTTTGACAGACGTGTCTCATTTGAGAACATTAATTCAAGATTTATCATTAATGACCATTAAATGCACAACTAAATCATGTAAAATAAGGTATTTTCTCATTATACTCCTACTTTCTCCTGTTCTGTTGCTATCACACTTACTATAGATTACTCAGAAGAATCAAGACTTGAAAATTTTGGCCTTTAATAAAATACAAACAAGTGCAAATTGCTCAAAAACCTGTGAAAATCAGAACGTGTGTAAGAAAGAAACCCGTCAGAGAAGGAAAATGATCTTATTTCCCACTAAAATGAGCAATTAAAAAAAAACTGGTTAATCCCAAAGGCGCATGGTTCGAACCCACCAGATGCTCTGCCAGGGAAGGAGGGACAATCTCCTCCTGTACCAGTCAGATCTGATTTGACGGTACACACACACACACACACACACACACACACACACACAAAATTGGTTAAGATGGCACCTTGTCAGAACAGGAAATTTTTTAAGATGAAGACACTCAGGTAGTCCCATCAAGTTCTAGCTCTCACAGGTATGAGTGTGCATCTTAAAGACCAATTCAAATTCCAAAAAATAGAATTCATTGTTGAGCTATTGAATCACAAGAAATTAAAAGTTTCCAATTTCTTAACATTAACTTCACTTAACCATTCTTAACATTACTAAGCCCAAATGGGGTTTAAAAAATATGTATCTATTTCTTTTTATTTAAAATAATTATAATTCATTGATATTTTGTAGTGACATGTGGATTCAAGGAATCACTTTAACGTTATGTAGTACTGGATGTGCAGAAACAAATTATGGCCAAGACGGGCCAATGGGGTCAGCTCTGCCACCTCAAACACTTGTCTATTGGCTGATGTAGTCACAGAGGAAAGAGTAAGGAGAGACCTACCCACAATTCCTTTGGTAACTATCCCATGAGTACTTTTATCTCTTTTTTGGTAACACCTCTTTTACTATTTATAAATTCCACTTCTGGATACAAAACACTTTGGGGACTTTGAATGTCCACTTCACAGACAAATATTCTTTGATCACTGGCATGTCTTACAGGAGGGAAAAAGAGATAACTTTTGTTCTGATACTTCAGGTTATGGTTAAAAGTTTAGGATTTTTGGTTTTATAGGACGCAGTGGGTGGGAATGATTGTATGAACCACAATGTGAACGAAGGATAGTGTGAATTATGATGTATACTAATTTTGTATGCACACCAATATAGTTTTTTTAAAAAGTTCTAGATTTTGCTATTTGTTTGAATTATGAAGGATCTGAGGACTAGAGAATGATTACCAGAGTTCCAATACCCTTTCTGCTCTCCTTTGGTTTATCTAAAATACACCTAAATCCATGTTACTCTGGTCATAATCATTCCTTTCATGCACACTGCTGTTGTATTAGAATCTACTTGTAGATGACCATTCAGGGAGTTTTCTAAGGCTGTAAATTGTATGGGAGGAGGTTGTTCATATTTCTCCTGTTGGATTCAAACTGCCAGAGAGACACTTCCTTTGGGTGAGCAGCAAAATTCTCTACAGACTGCATCACCGAAGTTCCCTTTTCCTTTCAGAAAGTTCTCCTTATAAGACAAATATTTACCCTATAACAACAACAAAAGAACTTTGGAGTTATTCTTTTCTAATTTCTCTCATCTCTTTTCACCAAACAAACAAATCTATCTTCCCTACGACCACCCGCTTTTTGTGTACCATTCAACTGGATCCGACCAGCACAGAGAAGATTGTCCCCTCATTCTCTAGCAGAGCATCTGGTGGATTTGAACCATGCACCTTCGGGATTGCAGCACAGCTTCTTGCTACTAGGCCACCAGAGCTCCCTACATCTCTTTTCACCAAGACATTCTTGTTTCTTCTCACTTTTTCACTAAGCCATCCAAAGGTATTTACTTGATTGCTTCCCAAGCCAGTAATATATTTTTCTATGCACTTTTCCAAACTTAAAAAAATATTTCCTCATTTCCACCATCTACCATATTTTTTTCCCTGTTTTCAATGTCACTTAAAATGGGAAATTTTCTCCAGTCCTTTGTTTTATACAACCTTATGTACTATTGTTGTTGTTATGTGCCGTTGAGTCGCTTGCGACTCAGAGCGATCCTATGTACAACAGCCCTAGACTCTGCTCTGTCCTGTGCCAATTGCACTGTTTCTGACACTCCCATCCCGATTACCCCAGTCACTGAATCAATCCGCCTCATAGAGGGCCTTCCCCTCCTGCACTGTCCCCCCACCCTCCCAAGCATGATGGACTTATCCAAGGACCAGTCTCTCCTCACAACATGTCCAAAGTATATTAGACGGAGCCTCAGAATCCTTGCCTCCAAGGAGCCATCCGGTTTAACC